TAATCCAGGGGTCACCAAACTATGGCAGCAGTTCATCTGGCTCACCACTGCACTGTGCCACAAATGATCTAAAATATAATTATTTATACAGAAATATCATAGATTGTAGATGAACTTATTATGTAGAAAAAATTAAAATAAGTGTAAGTAAAAATGCGAAAATTGGTCCAATCTGATTTTTGCATTTGACAGTAATATAAATTTTAGGAAAATCAGTGAAATGAAAAATTTGGCAACTTTTTGTGACTGATATCAGAGCACTTTTTGTGTAAGTACCTGCAATGAATTTTCTAAGAAAAAGCAATTACGATCTTGCTGCAGCATTTGTGTTTGTTTATTGGTAAATAAATATGTTGGTTTTCTTTACTTTTTGTGTATTCAATGTACTGTATTGAACAAAATGGTTATGCGGCCTGTGCTCATCACTCTCTCAGTTATCTGGCCTACTGTGAAAAAAGTTTGGTGACCCCAACTGTAACTGAATAAACGAAGCCAATTCTAATAATTTTTCTATAAACACAATACTTATGAGGATATACTGAACTACCAAGAAACCCAGACACCCCACCCCTCCTGATTTCATCTCCCCTTATTAACTGATAAACACATTGCCCCAAACTTCCTTCACTGATACTGCTTAAAGATGACATTAATTGTTCAGCCAAATTAATGTATGTGCAAAGTCTTTTTCTATGCTGATGTTTATTTTTCCTATTTATTATCATGGGAGGATGTCAACTACTACTTTTGATTGAATTAACTTCTACTTTCTTCTGCAACAGTCCCTTCTTCCTATCAACAGACCCAGAGGTACAGTGGCATTCTAATAGGAAAATTACATAATATAAGATTACTGGGCAGCCCAAAATATGTTGTAAGTGGTTTTCGAGGGTGTTGAGTTTAAATATGTGGTCTATTTTTTGTGAAATTTGATCCATTGTCAGATTATCATTTGATATTTTGCTGTGAATGGAACAGTTTGTTAGAGTTATTATCAGAAAAAAAAATAAGATATCTTAAAAAATTTAACAAATCATATTTTTTTAAAGTATCAAGTAATCGTATCATATTTTCAATTGATATCTACTTGACTAATGAAATTGTGCTATTTCAGGCCATCTGAGTATTGTGATAAACATGATGGTAGGCTAAAATAATCAAACTCTTTGTATGGTTTCATTTTAATGTTTGTTATGTTATAGTATTTGATTTATATAACTACAAAGGTTATCTTACATAAGGGTTTATTAAACCAAGTGATCAATCTAACACATTTTAAATTAAAACTTCTTTATACTGTACTCAATTTAAAGAAATCTTAAAATGTGTTAGATTGGTCACTTGGCATGATAAACTCTTACGTAAGTTAATTTTAATAGTTATATAAATCAATTATTATAATATAATACAATAGAAGGGTTAGAAGTACGAAATAAGCCAATAATCTTAATGTTTGTTCTTATTTTTCCCCAGGCAATGCTGGGCTTATCTACTAGTTTAATTAATGTAATCCCTGTATGATTGAAGTTACTAAAAAAAGCCAAAATTTTGGATTAGTAAATTAAAATATATCATTTACTATTAATCTATTATAACATAATTTGATACTTCTAGCACCTTTTAAACATAATTCATTAGCATAGAATCTTAATTTCTATTTAATTATTCTAGTAACTATAAAATAATCATTTATAAAAATATTAGTACTTTTTAAATTTGTTGTATGCTTATAAATTATTTTATTTTCTGGATTTACCATCTCAGATATAATCAGTCTTTTTTGTAATTGGGAAAGCTTACCAACTCTAAAGCCTTCTTAATATTTACTTAAGAAACTTTTAAACTATCTTTAAATAGATTTTGCATCAAAACTACAGCATCACTTCTATTATCCGGAAGATCAGAAATTACAATTATTATTATTATTATTTTTATCTTTTAACTTTAACAGTCTATCAAATAAGTTTAGACAACAGTTTTTCATCAAATGATTTACTATTGTTTAAACTAGAATAACCATTTTCTTGTCCTCATCAAGTACTGAAAGTTGAGACTCCAAATCTACAAGTGTCATATCGATGTTTTTTATCCATGCCTGGATATTTGACAGTTGTTCCAATTATAAATTACAAATAATCATAATTTGTAAATTTATGATTAGAAGAAATTTGTAATTTGAGCAAAAAGTGAATACTTTCCTGAACATCGATTTCTTTTTTAGCTTGAATATATGAAACAATCAATTGTTCTGTCCGGTCACTTGTAATCCTTTCATCTCCATTCTGAGATTACATTCTTACATTTCTAGCAAATGAATCTTGAGAAACTGAAGTGAAAGTTTTTCTTTTCTCAAGAAATGTATTAGCCATAAGTTTCAGAAAGAAAAATCACTAAAATAAATTCAAAATTACAACTGTTAAATTTCTTCATCAGCAACAATCATAGCCAAACAGCATTCCCTATACCCTTTGTATTGCTGCCAAAGACAGTCATTTTGAACATGTCGGCTAACAAAATAAAGCTCATTTTTTGTATCAATGTTTGCAATGTTGTCATTATGCTTTATGATCAGAAATTATTTGTTTTTTGCTAAATTGTCTTAAATTGATTCTATTTGATTAAATTAAAGGGAACAAATAAAATAAAATTAATTATTTTAGTGCCAAAACAAGCATACCCTATATGCTTATACTCATGCAATGCTGGAAAGATCTTTTCTATCTCCATAGAGTCTAACATATTTTAACTTAAATTGTTATATTCATTTTAACATTAAAAAATTGAAAAATCTACTTGACATCTACTTCTGTCACACAATTTAAATATGAATGAACTGATTTTAGCTTGAACTAAATATGTTCTGTAATCAAAAACGTCATTGAAATTTGATTTTCATAATGTTTTTTCTTCTCCAAGGTCTCGTGTGTGATTTAAGATGATATAATCGACAGACATGACAACTGAAAAATAAACAAAAATACATTAAGTGTTTTTACTTAATACAGTTATAAACTTTGAACGACAACAAACAAAAGACAACAGCCATACACTATGTGTTTAGCTGGAGGAAGGGGAAGGGAGGAGAGAAGGAAAGGAGGAGGATGAGGAGATAGAAAGAAGAGGAAGGAAGGGGCCCTCTGAGAATGATGACAAACCTGAAATAATTGAGTTTTCATTAAAACTCTTAACATAACTGAACTAATCAAATTAATACTTTTCTCGTTAGAAAAGTGATAACACATATGATATGAACTTTGGTAAAGGTAACAGAGTTGTTTAGATATATTTTTATGGTATATGTGCCACATCGGTTAAACCCAAACATAATTTAAACATCAACTTTTTAAAGTAGTGGAAAAGAATGAGAAGAGAAAATGTGATATTGGCAAAGAATATGGAATATTGACAAACAATAAAACATGCAGAAAACTAGTTTAATTTTTTAAGAATGGATTTTTATTATTCATTTGCACCAAGAAATTTTAATCAAATCTTTTATTTCATAATTGCTTCTAATAATGGCTGAAAAAATCAGATTTGAAAACAAAGGTGCATATTTCTGACTTATGCTATAATCCTTCAAGTGTTTATTATATAAGATAATATACGTAAATTAACTTTGTTTTTTAATTTTAAGTTTTTATGCTAAACATGAACCCAAATTAATTTTTTCTCACAATACAATAAAATATCTAAAAATGACTACTGTTAAATGTTTTTGGCTTCCTGGACTTATTTCTTTAGAATAAAATAGTTCAAAAACATTTTAAGAGAAAAAAAAAATATATACAGTGGGTGATTGGTTAACGAACAGATCGGATAACGAACAAATCGGATAACGAACACTTTCACGAAAGATTTTTATGTTCGGACAACGAACACATGATCGGATAACGAACACTGCACAGAACGAACACAAGAAGAAGCGATATAAAATAATGAATACCGATTGGTCTTCTCTTGTCTTCAGGCAACAATTCGAAACTTTTCGGAGTGTGGGAGACGTCGACATCGACGCTCAAGCCGGTATATACCGATCGGATAGTATTCCTCCGAACTTTGAAACTCTCCCTTGTAATTCCAGCCTTTTATTTTTCTGACAAAACAATTCTTTTATGTATTCGCGAGACTGTCGGGTAGGCACAAGTTAAGTTTTGCGTCTGTTTTTTTTTTCTTTTCAAAAGGTGAGAGTATAATAGCAAAGATAGAGAGTGGGCAGAAGATGCCTAATGTTGCTAGGCAGTATGGCGTGAACAGGTCTACAGTAGGCCGTAGTTCAATCTTATTTAAGAAAAATACTGTATAATCAAGAAGACTCAAGCAGCTAAAGGAGTAATAAAAGTCACATCTGAGAAATAAAGAACATCGAAGAGTTCATAATGGAACCTGAAACGGATCTGACGACAAAAGAACGTCAAAAACTCTTGAATGAAGAACACCAAGATACTCGGCGAGATATGTTTTCTTCTGAAAAAGAGGATTAACGCCGATATTTGCTATTAAAGATCTTTTGAAGAAGTGGAAAGATGTCAGAACAACGGTCTTAGAAAGTCATCCAAACTAGGTTGAGGCTTGGGGATTTCTACAATTGCAATCCTATTAATTACTTACGTAAAATCCTGAAGAAGAGAGAAAAGCTATCGACATTAGACAGATTCTTTAACCCTTTCAAACGGAAAAAACATGACTAATAAAAACGCAAGACTGTGCATGTATGTATTTTTATTATTACGTATAAATAAACGTAGTAAGAAAGTATATATTTTTTTATTTTTGGTGGTCTCCAGAACGAATTAATTAAATTCCCATTAAAACCTATGGTAAATCGATAATCGGTTAACGAACAGTCTTGGAACGGATTATGTTCGTTAACCGATCACCCACTGTACTTATATATGATAGCAAGTAACCGTTAAGTTTATGAATACTAAATATTTAACTGTGATATCTAGTTTTATGCAATTCTTTGATGATGATGATTTATTTATTTATTTACTTAGGATTAGAGTTGTCATTTTTTAGCAGCGTATATGGCACGTGCATTGGTTTCACGAAACATTTCAATGACGCCGCAAAATACGTTGGCATATCTGGAATGTTAATCGGTGCCGGAGAAATTACAGGTAGATATAAATTATACCACTAAGTAATTATTTATGTAATTTACAAATGTGTGTATATAATATAATAATCAACATTACTTAATGCTATAGGAGGAACAGTTTTTGGTTTATTTGGAAAGAAAACTAATAAGTTTGGAAGGGATCCAGTTGTTCTACTTGGATATATTATCCATATGGTCACGTTTTTCCTAATATTTTTAAATCTTCCTCCTTCTTCACCTATGAATTATAGCACCGAACCAACTTACATTAAAAGCAAGTAAGTTGAAATTTAATCATATTCTTTATTTAATTTTTTTACTTTTAATTTTAAAAATATGGGATAAATAAATTGTGGGTATAGAACCATAAGTGACAAACTGTGAATCTATAATTTTCTTAAAATAGGGTTTGAAAATTAGACCAACCAAAAATTTGCTATTTTATGTAATTATTTGGAATTTTTATATATCTGCTTATGGTTCCAAATAGAACATGCTGAATGTGAGGCCTGCCGATTAGGGGTGAGGTGTTTTCGACAGCTGAGCGGTTAATTCTGTCGTGTGGGCGCGGAATGACTCACCGAGACAGGTTTACCATATAAAACCGTTTAATAATATACATAAATCGTTCTTACAACAATCTAATGCGGGCAAGAGCCTATCCCACGATGGGTTTCTGTCACAGTATCTAAAAATCGGACAGTTTGAATGTTCGATTGGTCCCTGGGGAGCTTTCGGCACTGTGGACGCAGAGAACGATGGCTCCGGGGCATGCACCAACACTTGTAGTGATGTCCTCGGTTGACAAGTCGAACCTCGACGATCCTGGACGTGACCTCGGCGATCCTAGAGTGGACGGGTTGGCGAAACCAGTTCCTAGGTCATCGGAAGAGCCTTCGTTGCGTCTCGGTCGGGAGCACCAAATCCCGACAGGTGAGCACTACACACCAAAACCCAAGACTCCGTAAAGTTCCCGAAAACGCGGTTTTATCAATTTTTCCACCGCGGTCGCCTCTCCATTGGTCTCTCCTCGTCACATGGTGACAATTCGAAACTCCAGGAAGGGCGTGGGAGAGTTCAACGTCGCGTCGGAACACGACTCCTCTCCAACCTCGTTTTCCTCGACTTTACTCTATCTATTGTTTAAAATCTTTTAACAAGACAAAAGGTTCATTGTTTAAATCCGATCTTTAAGTTCGCTCTTTCGCACTACGAAACTTGACTCATTTAAAAAGTCGTTATTGGCCTGCTTTCGGACCCCGTTTGGGTCCTCACACTGAATATAATAGGAATACTCTATTATTGAAAAACTGCAAAATTTAGAGTTATCTACTCTACTCATGAAATTATATTTCTTTAAGAAATAATTTGAGAAGCAGAATTAAACTTCTCAGAAATATTTGTTAATCACATCATATATTCTTGGAATTTTTAAAATACAGTTGTCCCTCTATAGTCCGACGTTTTTTAATCCGACATGCTCAGTAGTCCGACGCACCTCCCGTCAAGGTACCCGTCCCCGTTACGTGTCTGCTTGCACAGAAGCATGTCGCGATGTGAATCTCCCCATCCAATTCTTACTCGATGACACACATTTCGTGTGTTTTGTGTGAGCAGTTTTGTTCAAACAGTTGGAGTAGAGAATATTGTAAGTTACTGCTAGCAAAACAATGCGAAATATGTAATTATTTTCGGTAATCCGGACACTTTTGGTAATCTGACACACCTTTGGTCCCATACTTGTCGGATTATCAAGGGACAACTGTATATATACTGTATTTACTTGCATATAAGACAAGGTTTTTATTTACTGCTTCAAAATCCTAGGTTGTCCTATACGCAAGTGAAAGATTATTTGTGTTTTTGCAATAATTTTTGTGAACCATGTATTCGCATTTTTTACCAGATACTCATTCTCTGGTGTTTAAATAGAATGCAATTAAAGTAGGCAATTCTTTCATTGAATTTGGGTAATCCTAGTCCAGTTCTAGATAAGTTTGTGTAATTTGCAGCATATAAATTATTTAGTTTATTAATCAATAAATAAACTTATTTTATACAAAAAGGATAGAGCTACTGATGCCCATATGAAGAGGCATTAATCAAATTGAAAGTATATATGAAAAATTGTTCTTAAGTCAATTTGATGAAACATTTTGATAATGTCACCATTATGTTCCCTGTTGGATGTTTAACTGTTTTATTTATATGAAGCCAAAAGTTAACTTGCTATCAAAAACCATACCCATGTTATCTACAGATTGAATATACATAAAATTAATGTTGTATAATATAAATGTAGGCAAATCTGGATTTTGAACATAAAAGCAAATGGCAACTGTTTAAGTGATTTTAATTGCTAGATTTAATGTTGGTAAGTTAGTACAAGGTTTGAAAGATCATCTTGCAACAGATTTGAATCTTTATTAACCTGTCACTACTTGATAAATTGACATACTTTTTCTGCCCCACCCTCGTTTACAGGTCTGATAAGTTGATTCCCCTCCTGAAAAAAATGAGTTCACACCACACTGTTTAATGTCACAGCAGAATTTGATGTTACATTTTCTCTTCTTTCATTCATGTATTATTTGCAACAAGTGTTTCACATTTCTGTTAGACATGAGTATCCAAAACCTAACAATGCTTACGCTGAAGGAAAAATATGAACTTGTATCAGAATTTAAATGTAATAAAACTTCACAAGCCAAATCTGCAAAACAAGTAAACCTTCCAAGAACAACATTGGTGGGAATTCTGAGGAAATAAAGAAACTTTTTCTTGCGTCTTCATCACAGCTATCTCAAAAATGCCAGAGAAAGTTGCCGTACAAACATGTCAAAGATGCTCTGATGGCTAAAGCTAATTCATTCATCAAATTTGCTTTATCCTTATATCATTTTTACAGTTTGCTTTATAAAGCAATTCTGAAGGGAAAATAAATAATAAACATTAAAAAGAAATACAAAAACAAACAAGATGTCAAATGTCAATAAACTGGTATTCCGGTTTAAGTGAGATTATATATCCGTCTCTAGAGGATGTGTGTGAGAAAAATGAGTGTTTATTCTAAAACTGTGAAACTGTCAGCACAACATGTTAGAAACTATGATTATATGTTTAATTTCTGTAGTTTGCCTTCTTTCTTTCTAATGATGTAAAATACTCGTGGAATGCCGAAAGTGATTTTTTAATGTTTATTTTATTGTAATTTGATCCAAAAACACATATAAGCATTTCAAATTTCAGAAACTCACTATAAATTATCTCAACTTACAGGGATTAACATCCCCTTTGTATGAAGTTTGAGGGGAAGGTGTTATTTTTTAAGGTCAGGGTAGATTGTTGCTGCACCTTGCACTACTACAAGTAACATCAATAAGCCACTAATTGCTTTGACCTTAACTGGAAACTCTCTTGCTGATTATCAGTCAGTCAAATTAAAATGTTATTATTTAACAACTGGTTTTGTTAGATTTGATGAATTTTATTTTCTAGTCACAGTTTAACTGGCATTCCAGTAACTCTATGGTATCCAGCATGCTGGTCTTCCCCAATTATATATGGCATGCCAGTCAATTTTCAAAAATACAGTACAAATTCTTTATTTTGTTATGATCTAAGAACAAAATATTAATAATTTATAATTTTCTTTTGTCTCATTTTAAACACATGTTTTAATTAAACTTATAAAACCAAGTTTTCTTTTTCCTTGTCCAAGAAGGACTGTTGAATGATTGTTAACTTCAACAGTCCTTTTTGCATACATTATACAGTGTTTCCCAATTGAGCAGGGCTGTGGAGTCGGAGTCGTCAAAAAATCCACCAGCTCCGACACCCTTTTACTTACCAACTTGTTATGTATATGAAACGGAGTCGGATGGTAAGGAAAAGTCGGAGTCGGTAGATTTTTACGCGACTCCACAGCCCTGTAATTGAGACAAAATTACTTTGTTGGAGTAAAAATAATTGTTTAATGCAAAATTTAAATTGTAGACTAAAGAATTTTTATAACTTTTTAAGTGATTTCTCTTACTCGTCCTCCTCATGTGTGATTTTGATAATTAAATGTTTAATTATTTTTTATTTAAATGAACTCATTACTATAAATATTGTATATTTACCTCCTTATTTTCATATTCTAAAATTATTTTTAAAATGACATATGAATTATAATACAATAGTTAAATCAATTTTATAATTTAATTTAGGCTTTATTTAAATATTTTTGAATACACAAAAATTTTATAAGGTTACTAATATTAATATTTTTCATTTCAGTGTTTATTTAGCTTTATTTTGCAGTTTTTTGCTTGGATTTGGAGATGCTTGTTTTAATACCCAGGTAATTTCATATAAATACAGTAGAAATTTATTAATTCTGTACCCAGTAATCTAAAACATCTGGTAATTTTTGGCACTTTCCAAAAAGTAGCCAAAAGTTCCAAAATGCCGAATTGTTTGATGATGGTCTGGCATACTAGAGTTCTGCACATTTGTCCATCAGTTTTTGGAGAATATTACTCAGTTATTGTTTTTATATATTTGCAAATTCTAATGTTTTAATTATAGTTAATTTATAAGTTTACTTTTCTTACAGTATAACTTCTTTCTTTCTTTTCAGTTTACATGTAATTATTTACACAATATGTTAACATTTACATGTATTTATATTAATATATAAACAATATGTTTGAATTGCTTAAAACTTCACCATATTTTGCAGAAATACAAAAATGTCTACAAATTAGTACATTCTGGTGTCATAGGTGCCAGATTATTAAACTATGGTAGAAGTTCAATAATTATTAAATATTCATAAAAATATACCTAAATATTACTATTAACAAGGGGAACCCAGAAGGTTGTCATCACTAATTTTGATGAAATTTTGTGGATGTGTAGTAGTTACTCGTATTCAAACTCTGCCAAAGCTGCAGGATATTCATGCATTCTCGAGAAAATCATAATTAAAGTTTTTCCAGAACTATCAATACAGTAATACCTCGACTTACGCTACCCCGACTTACGCGAACCTGGAGTTACGCGAATTTCAAATCTCGACGATTCGTCTTTTGTTTGAGCGCCACGCAACTCTTGATTACTCATTCCCTCCACACTATTGTTCAGCTTACATGTTCGGACGTGTCGCGCGGAATTAACTCAGCCTCAATTTATTTTGTGTTATTTATTTTTGTGTTTGTTATATCTACGGAGACTTGAGAGACTCTATGTGGTGATTTCTTGCAACCATGAATGAATCAAAAGGCGAGATAAGATTAACGAGAACATTTATTAGCTTACATACACCCGACTTGGGTTTTACACAAATTGCGAAATTATACCCCGACTTATGCGAATTCGACTTACACAGTTATCGCTCGGTCCCACCTATCGCGTAAGTTCGGGGTATTACTGTACCTATACAGAAGTGCCATTCATGTGTTCGTGGTATGGTTAGTTATGGCATTGTGTGAAGAGTGTTGATATGTGGGTTCAAATCCCATATGAGAAATTTTGTTTTACATTTATAATTTAATCTTATTGTTATTAAATTTGTTATGTACATTTTTTATACCATGTTTAATTATTGAATTTCAAACTTATTATTTATAAAATATTAGGGAATTCAAAAATTATTTTTCAACAATATAAAGTTTTCAGCACAAAAAATGTACATGCAATAAATACTTACAATTACTGTTTAATGAGAATATGACAACATTTTGGATGATATTTATCATAAAAACAGTTAAAACATAATGGTTCGATGCACCATGTCCAAACAATCATCGCTACTTCATTCACACAATCTTTATATTTTGTTTTAATAATAACAGAGGGTGGAAAACAAACTTCATTAACTTTTTTGAAAATATTTCTTTCACTTGTTATTTGAGATGCAAACCATGCATATTTTAATATGTTATAAAAAACTAGTGTGCCCAACTTTTTCAGAATTAGAAAGTGTATTTTAATTTAATAAACTTAAAAAAATATTACGTATATACAAAGAAAGACTTTGCTTCTGTGAGAGCCTGGACAGAAATTGATTTTGGGTCTGAATGTTTGCAATCAAACAAGATAATAAAGTTCTCAACTTTCAGAAAGGAATAAAGTAAGATTTAAAGGTCTCATTTGAACAAAGAATGTTCGTTCCATAAAATTATACCCAATCCATCTAATCATTGTGTGAGAAAGGCTATTCTGAGTAAGGAATATTTCCTTAAAAAGTTTTTCTAGGAGATATTCCTAGAAAATTTTTTTTTATATATTATTACATTTTGTGTCCTTACTGTACATTGTTCACCACATATGGAAATCATTAAACACCATGTGTCTTCTTACAAGTTTTAAAAGAGGAAAGGTTGTCAGTGATCCCAACCTTCTATGATCATGGGTTTGCCTCCCACTGTTTCTTATTGTCTCCCTAGATTCACTCACTGCCCGCAAGAGAGTGGTAGCATCCACTTTAGGATCCACTGGTCTAGATAGAGGGCACACAAGCCTGCTCACCGCATTAAGATGGGGGGTATTGGAGCAGGGGTTTGGCGTTAATCATGTTATTCACTTCTCCATTCCCTAATTTACTTTTTATGATATATTAATGGCCATCAAATTACACATCTGGATACTTTCAACAATTTAGGCATTATATTTTATTCTAAATTTATTTTCAATCAGCATATTTAATTCTTAATTAAAAATCTGTTGATTGAGTGACTGATGTTTTGGTGCAACTCTAGATCAATATTTACCTTATAAATACTTCACTCCCTGTGTTATGCTAATGTTCTGTTTCTTATTGACTATAGTATTTCATTTTGGGCCATGACTTCTGACATTAATCTTGCATTAAACTCAAGTTACTCTTAACAAAACCTATCTGTTAATTAACAAACTCTTTCACCTTTGTACTGAAAATAGCAATGTTGCACTTATGCTCCTTGGTCTCACTCTCCTGTTCATTTGCATTTGTTACTTTGCTGCTATGTTATTTTATAAATATTTTAACAGTACAGTAGAACATCGTTTATCCAAAAGTCGGTTATCCGAAAGAATTCCAGTTGACAAATTTAAATTTTCACTAGTGCTGTGGCGCTGCAATCTTTGGCTATGTCTTGGGCTACTCAAATATTTTATGTTTTTGATACTAAAATAACTTCTGAAGTATACTTTTTTTTATTGTTTTTTTATTTTTCAATACATTTATTTTGTTTAAAGAAATAATTTTTAACGATACAATAGCCACGATTATTATTTTAAAAAGTTTATGTTAGGTTTAACATCGACAAAAATTCAACGCGAAGCGACACGCAACGGAGAAAAATTTCAACACGGGATAGGTTAATATATTTTTTTTGTGCGTAATCAGTTATCCGAACAACTCCAGTCCCCAATTGATTCAGATAAACAACACTCTACTGTATTCTAATCTAAATCTTATTTTAATTTTCATAACTTTAGTTGTATAGCTATACCATTCACTAGTCTGACTTACATAAAAAGTAATTTTTTGTGTGAACTGAGGGGGTAGAGCAGTGTGCTTCTCCCCACTTACTGGCTTCTTTGTCAGGGATGGCTTTGGAAAATGAGTGGGGAGGGGTCGTGAGGTCGTGACAAGATGTTCAGATAACTACACGGGTTGAACAATACCAACACATTTAATAAACAAATAAGAGATTATACATATCAAAGACACTAAATATAGCACAAGCATAATACAAATAAAAATCTATCCTATATTCTAACCTAACCTAAAGCTAAAGATCGAGCAAGACCTCTCTAAGAGGGTCACGTTGGGGAGAGAGACAAAATTCTGGCAAGATTTATCTCGTAGGATGCGATCTCCTCGTATAGGGCGTTGGTAGGACGCACTGGGATCGGTCACTGAAGTTCCAAACGAAGTTCCCTTTGGTTTCCAATCGAAGTTCCCTTGGATGGCGATAGGCAGTGATGGACAGGGTAGAGGTCTTCGATGACGATATAGAGGTCTTCCTCAGCTGTCTGGAGGGGTTGCTTCGGCGTTAGCTCCTCGGCTAACTGCCCAGAGGAGCAAATTCGTCCCCCTTTTATACTCACTTCTCATGGGAAAAAATCTGGGATTTCGTTGACGTAATTTGACATCTCTCCAGATTTATTACTGTCTCCCCTGCCGTAGAAAAATTCATTGCCTTTTTTGGTCATTTCTCGTCGGGTCGCTTGGACTTATGGGGGATCACAGGACTTATGGGGATCACATCGTTTTACCCTTGCCGATGACCTTCTGGATTAGCATCACACATTTTCTGCAGCCAATTGGATATTTATTTAAACGACGCAGTCACCCTATAACCAAGCGATCCCCAGGCGAGAGGGGGTCCCTCTTTGGACGATGAAAGTCACCTTTGAATGTGATGCATTAGTGTGAAAATTTATACTAGCGTCCGAATTCTCACATTTTGTTTTGTTCCCCAAATTCTATTAGATTTATTGAAAACCAGTTGTAACTTGATTTTCTTACTTTAAAAAAAAAATACTGTAAAAATTATTTTATTCTCCATGAAATGTTTATGTAATGTAATTTTATTANTTTATTTTATTGTTATAACTAATAGCCAAGGATAAAATAAAAAGTTTTAAATATCAACTTTTTTTCTACTTGGTTGTTGCACGAGGCCCCTCCAAGAGCGAGGCCCCGGGCCATTGCCCTGCTCGCCACCCCCTAAGGCCGCCACTGCTTCTATGCTTAATTGATGATAATATTAACCAATTATTTTATTTTGCATTAGATATATTCAATTCTTGGTTTTATGTATTCCAATGAAAGTACACCTGCATTTGCATTATTTAAATTCGTACAGGTATGAATTCCAATTTTTGTATAATGATTCGTTATTTTAAAATTAATATAATTCTTGTCCCATTTTTATTATTGTTTATAGTCAGTCGCCGCCGCAGCTGCATTTTTCTACTCTATTAACGTCAGTCTGCCCATTCAGTTATTGATATTGGTGATAACTGGCACCTTTGGATGTTTTTCTTTCTTTATAGTCGAGTGGAAACTCAGTGGTTCTTCCAATCACGAAGTAAATACGCAGAGATCAATAAACAACGAAAACTGACCTAAAAGGAACAAACAAAACATATGCAGGAGAATTAGAATTACAACTAGAGAAGCTAATTGTGAAAGTATTTTAAAATAAGTTTAAGAAATTTAGAATTAAAATTGTAAAATTTTATTGTGAATTATTGATAGAAGGAATAATGTATTTATAAATTTTAAGGATTATACATTAATATATGATAGAAAATATAATTTGATTTACAGTAAATACTATAAATCTATTAAAAATATTTCATACTGCAATTATTTACTGCTGAAATTAATATTTTTTAAATTAATTTTTTGTTGTTTAATAATAATAAAAACCAAATTTAATTTCTTAGGAAATTTATGAAAACAAAAATAATTAAATATTTATCTTAAGATCTTATACAGATAGAATTTTCTCTAATTTTTATTCTGCAAAGAAATATGAGCTTATGACTGACAATTAAATAACATGATACATGATGTGCCAAAATTATATTCATGTCATTTAGTGTAGTTATAAATATCAAAATTGTTTTGTAAAAAAGTATAATAGATTGAACAAAAGAAGTGTTTTTAAAAGAAGTAAAAAATAATTTTGTTTCTTGCAGAAAATAAATGTATCTGTTCTTTGTGAGTTTGTCTTTTTAAAACTGAATTCATGGTTATATAAAATTTTACAGAGTGATTTATATTGACCCAAACTCAAATTTTTATTATAAATCTTGAATGAATGGAGAACTATGAGATTTTCTGGAAGCATTCTTTCACTTACATTGTATACAACACATCACAGAAAGTATTGGATGTGGCCACCATCTTCTTCTTTCGAATGTATGTTAACATGTAGCTGCATGTTGTTGATAATTTGTATTAATGTTGCATCATCAATGTTTTCGATCTCATTCCTAATATTATCCTCTGAAATATCAATCATGCAGGGTTTGTTGTGTTACACTCTTTCCTTAAAATAGCCTCACAAAATAAATCCTGGCTGGTAAGATTGGGTGACCGTGGCAGTAACCTATTTTTGGAGATGCTGCTGTCCCTAAAAAAACTCTGGATTGTTGCCATACATGCAGTGTCACTTCCGCATCATCAAGTATTTCAACAAAGTTTGTGAAAATCTGCTCATAGATAGTGGTGTTTAGCATTTTTCTAAACAAAAAGGGACCAAGTTGTGTCTTTGCTACTACATAATGGCCAATTCAGCACTCAATATGATCAATGTAAGTAGAGGCACACTTTTTGAAAATTGCATTGATTTCCATTCATTCCATTTTTAAATAATAAAATTTGGGTTTGAGTCTACATGAATTACCCTGTATATATTTACACACACGTGCACACACACACACACACACACACAATAGTTGCTTTTTGAATTTCATTAATCTCCCCACTCCTTAATTTTTCATATAGCTGACTTTTACATGGGAATAAGTGATAGATACATGTTGTAGGCCAATAGTATCATTTCACATTTAGACATTTTCGATCAAATCATTTGTTATAAACATAGTCTTTTTATAATGATTGATCCAAACATTGACTAAAAGATGTGCATACATATTTAAATCGTGCAACATTACTTCATTTACATTGCACATTAGTTAAGATAACACACACTTCCTTGTCTATTTGAAGAATTTTGTTGTCAAATCTAATTTCTTGTCTAAAATGACTCTTGGATACAAAAATAATTGCATTTATAATCTGGTCCTTTTACACTCTTTTAAGCCAACTTCATTCTTGCATATAATTTTGCACACCATATTTATTTGCTCACCTTAGGTATGTGCAATATGATTAATCTTGCATTATTTATATATAATTAATTAATTTTAAGAATATTTGTTAGACATTTAGTAAAATTGAAAATTCAAGCTTTGTACAGTGTTGGTTTGGTGTATTAACTTAAAATTATGATAATTCAATATTTTTTAAATTTATACATTTATATGTTATATTACAATTTTTATTTATTGACTGATATTACACAAAAAAATTAATTTCTGTGTTTGTTATTAAGTCCTACTTCATTATCAATTTTGAACAAATACCTTTATGATTTTCTTTCAAAACTTTTATATTTGCATTATATTACTGCCACAGATCTTAAAGTAGCCTACCATATTTTCTTTGTATATTATTAATAAAAATTTGAAAATATTTATTACTGAAATACTTAGAAGTTTAAACGGGATACAACATTGAAGTCTGTAAATATAGTAAACATTCAAAATAAATAGAAAATAGCTACAAAATATTGATCAAATGAAAACAAGTATGTGAATAAGCTCTATTTAGGAACATTGTAGAAGAAATGTAGTTTCAAAAATATCTACAGCTGAATATCAAACAGTAATCTTCTAACCAATCAAATTTCAGAAAAACGGACCAAATATTCAAATCGGCACCCTCAAAAACCTCTTAATTCATATTTTGTGCTAGCCGATAATGTCGTATTATGTAATTTTCCTATTTAAATGCCATAATACCGCTGGTCTGATAGGAAGAACGGACGGTTGCGGAAGGTGGTTGAAGTACTTTAATTTGATCAAACGCATTCGTTGATCTCTTCCCGGAAGAGAGGATGGCCAACGACTACTCATTAATTAATTAATACTGACTGATCTACTATTACTATTTGAAAAGTGATTCGTGTTAGACGAGTTATGATGGCCCCTGCAAGTGATAGAAATTTCAGAAACTTAAACCTTAGATTCAGGAAATCTGAAAACATTGATTTGCAAAAAACTCCGAGGGTCAAATTTGACAAGATTTCAACACTTTTAAATAAAAATGTCAAAATTGGTCCAATCAGAATTTTGCATTTGACAGTAATATAATTTTTAGGAAAATCAGTGAAATGAAAAATTCTGAAAATTTTACACTTTGGATATGAAACCACTTTTTGTTTAAGTACCTGCAATGAAGTTTCTAAGAAAAGTGATTAATTGTTTGTGTATTGGTTATTTACCAATACACAAACAATTATATGTTGGTTTTCTTTATTTTTTGAATATTCAGCACACTATATTGAACAAAATGGTTATGCGGCCAGCTGTAAAATAAGATTGGTGACACCTGTTCTAGAGGTTAAACAGGTCTAAAAAACTCAGATTATAGACTCAAGTCTCTCTGGTTATCAGCGATAAAAATTATTTTGAAATACTTCTGTCGGGTATACTTAGTCTGTGGAAAATCTTATGTGTAAAACTTGATAAAATTTTCACACATTAAGCCACAAAGCCACGTCAAGGCGACACCCATTTTGTGGTAGTTTTTTGATTTCCAGAAACTGACCCCGATTGCTTGACAGAATAACAATCGGGGAATAAAACTGGATATTCGTTGCTATTCCATTAATTCATTAAACTGAAACCCATGGCAAAAATTCCAATTATTAGGTTATTTTAATCAAATGTTTTTTGGAGGAATTCTCGTAAAAATTTGTCAATTTCAAATAAATATAGCAACGAATAAAAGATTACGCTAAAAATGTAAATATAACTAATATAGTATAATATAAATAATATACTGTAATATGAAAATGTATATCAAAGAGTCTCTCGTTGTCACACAGAACATCAATTTATATCCCACAGGTCTTTCAACACCCAAATGAAGATCTATCAGTGGTCGTGTCCTCTACAGAAGAGTAAATCTTGTTACCAACCATAAATTGACTTTTAGAAATAAATGTCAAAACTAACCTGAAACAGATTACAAGTGTATATTTTAATCCTTCAGACCATACCATATAAAAGCCAATGGATCTTCAATAGAAAGCGTGTTAATCACGTTCTACATTTGATGCCTGCAGTGGGTAGGCCAGTGATCAGAGTGAAATTCGGATCAGGAGACCCCATCATTCCACAAGCAGAGAAAATGGATGCTTGGTTTGGGCAAATATGCTACTAAAATAGGCTACCAGGCATAACATTCTGATGCTTGCAGTAGGTAGGCCTGTGATCAGAGTGAATTTCGGATCAGGAGGCCCCCATAATCCCACAAGCAGAGCAAACGAATGCTTGGTTTGGGCAAATATGCTACTAAAATAGGCTACCAGGCATAACATTCTGATGCTTGCGGTATGTAGGCCTGCGATCAGAGTGAATATTTGCCCAAACCGAGCATACATTTGATCTGATTATGGGATGATGGGGGCTTTTTGTTCCGAAATTCAATTTGATCACAGGCCTACCTACCTGCGAATTTCGGATTATGAGGCTTCCATCATCCCACTAGCAGAGTGAATGTATCCCTGATTTGGGTAAAAGTTGGGGAAGTAAACTGTAAAAATTTAATATGGCTTGCGGTTTAATATGGTTAATTAATAATGAATGTGATATTGTGGGGTGATGAATTTGTATTTTTGTTAATGTTTACTTGATACCTTATTTCGAACCTTTTTCAAATTTAGGTCAATTAAAAAATAGAAATTTTAATACAAAGACCTGGGTTACAAACTGTCTGTTTGACAACCAGTATAAGCAAATGTTACTATTTCTGTATAAGCTATAAAGTGAAATTTGTTGAAAGTGTTTTCAACAATTCTGCTTTTATATAGATTTACAGTCAACTATGTGTGATATTCAAGCATTTACGTGGAGCTTTGAAATTTTCTAAAGCCAAACTGTGTCATTAATTTTTATGATAAATGCTTTTTATAAGCATTTAGTGCATTACATTATAATTACTAATCTTACAAACTCTGATGTACCGTAAGTGGATATGCTTTACAATAGTTGAAAACACTTTCAAATATAGGAATAGTCCATGAATTACGTAACGCTATTTTTATACTTTTTAACAACTATTTCACCTCTCGTAACGGTCCTTAACGTCATCGCACATACCTACATCCAAAATTACGTAACGTATAACTTCGATCTTAATTGTAATAACAAGAAAGAAATAATACACAGCACGGGATATCAAACGTTGCATCACTTTATTAACTACACGCGTAACATGTAAAGCAGTGACACAAACACTACGGTTCCCTATGCATCACTTCAGAAACAAAAGTGAGTCATTGTCTTACCGGGAGATCCTAGCATTATGTAGCGTTTTCATTAACACCTCACCTCGTGTATCTGCGTTACATAATTTATGGACAGCCGTATGCAGAATATGCCA